AAAAGGAAAGATGTAAATGGTCTCCCTCGCAGAAATTTCCGCTTTCCTTCCGAAGGCCCCAAAATGTCATCCCTTTCACGTGCTACTCCACTTTCAAATCACTTCACAATCGCCTATTTCTTCTTTTTTCCGACTGCAACTCCAATATTTCATCGCCACTTCCAGCTAGAATGCCCCAAGATGCCCCATTGTTGATTTTTCGAGGATTAAAAGATTAACTGCCAGAGATCAGGACACAAGCAGAATTTCGTCTCAATCACAAAATTACAGCTTGACAATGTTCCCGTTTACCGAGGATGAGCGATGTAATCAAAAAGGAAAGGCCCTCAAATAATAAATAGTTTGAAAATTGGGAGCTTTCCTAACTAGAACTTTTGGGGGATTGGAGCCAGCGCGAATGAGAGAAAATACTTCTAGAAGGTAGCAGCAACGACTCGAAAATGCTATTTTCCTGTGAAAAACTGTATCCACCCATTTCCCATATGTGAATGCGACGTACTGAAGAAGTGAAGGGTCTCAGAATTGTCAACTTTATTCCGGCAAAATGTTCTCTATCACTAACAGTCACTTCCTAGGGGCTGTGAAATCGATGATATCTCAATATGCGAACGAATGGTCAATATTGAAGTGCTTTCATTAAGGTAAAGACTATTTATGAAATTTCCTATGCCACTGGAGTAATTTCGAGCATTTCAGCGTTAATCGGGTTGAAACACTACAACCTCTACGTAACTGTTCTCGATTAGCGGAATTATATTTGCGGAAAAACAACATTCAAAGCCTTACCGAACTCGAATATCTCAAGGTTCGTCGCGTCTGATGAAGGGTTTATCAAAGGAACGTTGCTTAGTAAGGTCGCTTGGTATCTCAGCCTACTCAGTTGTCCCTGGGACAATCTTGTTCTTGACTGGTGGGGGTCAAACAGAACATCAATTCATTGTACCCAAATGAAACGAAATTGACTGGATATACTTTGAAGGACCTGCGGAATCTCCGAGTGCTGTGGATTGACGAGAACCCATGCACCCGATCAGGCGATTACCGTCATCGTGTCCTACGGCTATTGCCTCAATTAACAAAACTTGATGATAGACGTACGTTTGCCCTATTTTTCCAGACATTCTTTTATTTCTCAGAACCTTAGAGTTTTTTTCATGAGGGTTTCCTATTATTGGCAAAATCAGTAGTCAATGACTGTTCCAGCGGTGACCCTAGATGACCATATGGAAGCGCAGCAGGACGATTCCGCTCCTGAATGCGACATGCACGCCAGCATGATGAGTCTACACAGTGCACGTAGCTCGAGAGCAGGCAGCAGTGTGACCCTCCACGATCCCATGACCCAATCATTCTATGGTGAGTTTGGCCTCAAATAAGTTCCCAACTTCAGCAACTCTTCTTTCATTCATTTTTTTTTCAGGCCGGGCAATCGTGGACACAGTCATGCAACCGCAAATGGTCAGTTACGGGGATGCTTCGGATGAGGAACGGCTTCCACCACCACGAGACCCACAATCACTGCGGGTCTCCCGACTTAGTCTGATGAGCCAGTCTGTGCATCCGTCGCTGATGACCCAATCCATCTATGAGCCAGCAACCGAGGACCGTGACGAGGAGTGGGCCGACTTCAGGTATCCTCCACTTTTAAGCGCTCCTGTTTCATGTCACAACTTTCTTTTGGAACTTAGGGCAACCGACCACCTACATAGACATATTTTAGCCTCGAGGAGGACACTCGGCCGGTTTCAATGGATGCGATAGCTAGTCGGATGTGCATGTCTATGCATGAAGCACGACAGCGCCCAGCCAGTAGCTCGTACAGTCGGAGCGTCAGTGCTCCACGGAGGCGTCTTCAGGCTCGAAAGGAGTCATCACGAAGTCCGGCTCGGGTAAGGCATTTCTATTGGTTTCATTGGACAGTTCTATTGAAGCCTTCCTTGCAGGATATGCGTACAGACAAAATCATGTCGGCGGTTTCCGTTTTGCTGGACGAACTGGATGCTGACGGTTTGCGGGCCGTTATCGAGCAGGCTCAAGAGCGTATGAAGAAACGTTGGTGATCATGGGACCAGATCTTCTTCCTCTCTGCACTTTTAAATTCAATCATCGCCAAACTTCAATGATACTCAGCATTTCATTGCCTTCGTTTATTTTGATGGCTTGCCAATTCTTGAGGCTGCACAATCTGCTGTAATGCCCAAGCTATGCCTTTGCAAAGTGAAGAGCTCCTCAATGAGGCACAATTTGAGGGCCCAAGTCAGAGTGGTTAATACATGCCCTCATCCTTCCTCCCTACCCACAAGTTCTTTCCTGTGCTTCATCTACTTCTATGAACCGATGTTGATTCCTTAGTCCGGTCATTCCGAAGGAAGAATAATTGCTCGCTATGCATCTTAATGGCCATTTTATATTGTTGCATTCCTCTGTTTCGCTCTGTCGTGATGCCGGTTCGACGCTGTCTATTGCCATTTGCCATTGTTTGTAAATTATTCGATTTCATCACAATTGAAACTTTGATAAAATTTCCTCCAAACACGCCAGAAAACTAGTGATCCGCAGTCATCAGGATCGCTAAATGCTCAGAGCAGCACACCACGATAACCTTCTTTTGCAAACTATTGGCGTTTTCTTCCTCAGCGACGCTTGTTGGGCGAGTCCCTCATAAACTACGCGCAAGGAAGTAAAATCCCTTTGACTTGGGAAGCATACTACGGGGAGGGGGGAATTACTTGAGAACGAAAAATGGTTAAAAATGCCGATACTACTAATCGCGAAAGAGACCTTGCCTCAGCAGGATATTGCAGTCTACTTCAAAAGTCAGCGGCTCAGCCTCTTTGAAACCATGCGGCCATCAGCAATTCCAAAAAGAATAAGAACCTCCTCTACAAAATTGATCGGTAGAACACGCCTAGGCGAATTCTGACTGTGCTGCAGCTTGATCAGACGAAGTTCACTTTTCGTTCGGGAGCTTGATTAAGTATTCACTCAACAACGATGAGGAGGAACCTTCCCATGTTCATGGTAGTAAAATGCCACAATAGTCAGTAAGAGTTACCCTCTGTCTGCTAATTCTCATTGTTCCCACTTAGTGAACCCAACATGACAAATTTTTCATAGCCTCGGTTGAGAATGGATGCAGGGAGCCAGTGAAAAAGCTCTCTTACAGTGAGGTCGTTGACCCCTCCCAGTGAACTCTAGGTATATCATAAAACAGAAGAGAGGTTTCAGCATTCGCAAACTTTCGGAGAAACCTTGAACACTCAACAGAGTCAGGGAAGTTGATTGCAATAAAGGGGATCAAGATCGGTACCTGAATTTCTTTTGCAAGTTGTAAACTGTCATATTTCGTTTGAAGTGCAGTTTTGGCTACAACCAGCTCTTTTTGAATTCGTAATACCTTCGGAGATCCCGAAAGCGTCCCTCTGTAGAAAGCGTGGATCAGACAAGCCCCTCAACACTGCTATGGAATCCGACATTAGTGGGTACGATATTGCTAAGCGGAGCAAGTCTCATGACACTCATAGAGACCGTTGCGGTAGCAAAACATATGGCCAATTCGACTGTGAGCTGACATCAAATTAGTCCGGTTGGACTGCCAAGAATGCTTCTTTCAAATCTGAAACTCTAAATCCAACATGCGCCCTAACACGTGGGACATCAGGAAACTACCTTTTCGTCTACTTCGTCAACAATGCTACTACAAATCGGTCAGCCATCCCTTCATCGACGTCGTCAATTACTACTGACCAATTGAACAGGCGAAACCTCAACTACTGGACCATGTATAATACTACAAAGCGGGACATAAATAGGGTAAATCCATCTATACCGACACCGTCGTGATTTCAGGCTCTTCATAGCCATTTGGAGACCACATATTTATGAAAAATTATAATGAAGGGGTACCCTTTAGCTTGGATCGATCCCGATTTTTGGGATGCGCCTTGCATTCGATTTCAATGTAGAATTGCAGTGACGTTTCGAGTACATCTGTGGCATATACAATGACTTGGGGTGGTCAGCCAACCTAGAAGTTGGTGTTTTCCCCTCCCAGCCTGCTATTAAACAACCCCTATCGCCACAATTTGGCTCTAGAGTACTTTTGTTGAAGACGAAAAATTGGACCTGGGAGTTTTTTGATCTCGCGTGAATAACTGCTGTAGGATGTGTGTTCTGTAGAGTTTCTGAACCTCAGACGGACTTGTTCTCATTTCCTGTTACTAGGCAAATCCACTTAGCCACCGAGTGACCTTCCATCGGCTCCGCCCTCTTATTTACGATCGACACGGTGAGATTGCCCTCTTGTGGTTGCAACTCGCACGAACGTGCACGTGCACTTTCGCGATGTTATGGACATTGGTCCTGGCCCTCATAAAGGTTAGTACCCTTTCTTTCTTGCCCTTGTGCCGCATATTCCGAATTGCAATGACCCACTGGGCTCATATGTATCACCGTTTTTCTGCTTCATTTCCTGCTCAATTCATTTCCTTGAATTACTGGATGCATTTGCCGGACTCAAGTGGGAATTACAATGGGAACTTGTTCTTCCTTTCGTTGCTTTGATGAATTCTTCACCGATTATTCAATATTGTTCCACTCTTTCCCACTCTTTGGAGCAGTTTCCACTAACATGCAGAGGCCTTGTTTCCAGCATGGGTGCCGGAATACCCATGTTATGGAGTATCTTTTGAAAGAACCAGTCATGCAACTGTAACCTCTACCCCGATCTTTTCCTCATCATCTAAAAAATATCGTTTGGATTCTAAGGAGTGTTGAAAAACCTCTAATGTACTCTTCTTGGTTTCATTCCCACGAGAATATCTCCCACAGCTATCAGCGCTGCAGCCCCCAAGAGCCCACCGTTCCGTACTCGTTTCGAATAAGAACTCAGAAAGCGTGTACCTTCGTTCGGACACTTTTTCGATGATAAGCAATGGGATGCAATTAATCCAGTGACCCATTTCATCAAAAGTGCCCTAACAAAACACACAAGCAGGGGGAGGGAATTCGGCCCAAGCTTGGTTCTGCATTCACTCGCCTGTGGGGTAAGTCTATCTAATTGGTTGGCAGCTGACTTCTCTGCCGGGCTCAGCTGGATTCCATGAATTAGGCACTTTAGTACTATTACTATTACAACCGCACATTTGAAATAACAACGAGATTACTCATCCTCCCTTATCTAGTTTGCCTGCAGGTGATCTGGGAGACTGAAAGTTCCTGAAATGTTGTAAAATTCCTTGATTCATAATTATTTTGACTTTCACAGCCTGCTGTGTTGACATTTAGGGTTCAAATGAAGTGAATTCCTCTTGTTTTAATTGATTTTATTTCGGAATCTCTATTCCATGCCTTCGATACAGGTTCAGCTAAGGGTAGTTCGGCAGAAAGGCCAACAGTCAACCAATTGGGTGAGGTCACCCGGCCTCAAGTGAGTGGAGGTGCGATGTAACCTGACTTGGAACTATACGAGCATTCCCTAACTCTGAGTATGGCATCAATTTCGATACCCTCGAGGATTCTTTCGAATGTCGTTATTTCCAAGCAACACAGCAAAAGGACTGCAAAAGAAGTTGAAAGTCATAGTTACTGTCTTTAGAATCGGAAATCACGAAGAAGTCACTTTCGAGGTTCCTGAACCGGTGACGATTCAGGTTTCAGCGTTTTGCTAACAACCATCTTGGAAAGAAATGCTACCCTTGCCTTCAATGTTGCAATATAAACTGTTTTGACAAAATTCACGTCGCCTTCAGTCAGTTATGGTTAGTAGAGGTACGGCCTTGTATTGCCGATCTCGCGGGCAGCCACTTAAGCCAATTCTCGGGTGAAAGAGAAGACGGAATAGGGCGAGACATGGTGGTCTAAGGAAGGAATGATGGTGGAGGAGGAAGAGGACGGACCATCATGGCAGAGGACCCTATGTTTACCGTGCACTCCGAGCATGTCCTTATCGGATCCCGATCAGTTACTCCATCAAGTCATTATGTGGTCCGTCGATACGTGGGTCAGCGCCTCCCTCGAAAAACCCGCATGGCTCGTCCATTACAAGAATATCACGTCCAAAAGGATTGCTATCACTTGCCTGGTAAGGGGGCTCCCCGCGAATTCTCTGACAGCAGATCATATCTTCTTTCCTTGCTCATTTTCTACACCTCTCCACCAAACTTCGGCAACTTCCTCTCCGAAAGGAACCTCGCATGAAATCGGAGGATAACCCAGTGATATCCCTATCCCTTCAACATCTCCTAATCAAAGCCAACAACGAATTCCTGGCGGACGGAGGCTGTAACTATCCAGCGATGCCCTTTGTGAGGTGGCTATGATGTATACACGAACGTGGTTTTTCCCCATCCAAGAATGACCTCTACGAGAACCTCGGCTGACTCGACAAAAACCAAAATTGACTCTTCCGTCGTCGCGCAGTCCTCATCTTTGCAGAAATAGCATTCTTCCGAAAGAAAGCCTTTTCCTTTAACGAATGGATTCCAACGCAATCAACTTGGTTGACATAGTTGGCCTTTGATTTAGTGCGTCCAAGGGAGCTGGACTAATTTTCATGTTTGAAAGTCCATAATTCTTATTACTATCCTTTTTCAGGTGAGTACTGTCGAATCGAAAACGTTGGATAATAGACTAGTTGGTGGGTTACTTTTTTCTCAGTACTTCGATATTTTTACTACCATACACAATATTTTGAAAAGTATAATAGTATTCTGAATATAAAAAAGAGAGCCGCCCAGATCGATTCGATTCCAAAATGGCTTTGCTTGACGACTGAAAAAAAAATGTGAAAAGAAATGCCCTCCACGTTTCACTAACGACAATCTGCATTCACAACTTCAGGGCGGAGAAGAAAGAAATGGAAAGAGGAGCTCGAATGCTCTCAAGAAGTTATTCTAAAAACAATCTCAACCTTATTCGGTCTTTGAAATGAAGTTTTCGAACTACTGCACCTCACTGCCGTTAAGTTTTAAGGAGCACCCAGAGTCACATGTGGTCCGGACGCTATTCGAGTGAGTGGCGAAAGCGAGGATGTATTTGAGGGCCAGGTGAGTTTGGGTTGATAATTTTCTTTCGCTTAACGAACTTCCGCTGTCTCCGTGGATTTCATGATGTGGCTCCATTCCACTCGATTACCAGCGATTATTAAGACCCAGCTTGATGCCAACAGAAAAATTAATGAGTAACAACTAAAGATGGTTATAAGCCCTGTAATAGCACCATTCTTTAGTAGATTGTCTCTGGGGTGCGTATAGAGTCGCCAACACAACCCTTAGACTCTCACT